CGCCTTTCCCGGCAGCGCCCGCGGCCACGGGTCACTGTGTGTGCCCGGACGGCGCGTGCGCCCGGTCCTGGTGGGTCCCCGGCCCCCGCTACCCACGCGCCCCGAGGAACGGACGCCGGCCGCCCAGGTACTCCGCGAGGCGCGCGCTGGGGGCAGCGGGGTGAGTGCGAGGTCACGGGCCGGGGGCTGGGGGGTGAATGCACAGGGCGTGGGCACTGTCCGCGCGTGCAGGGCGCGCGCCCAGGGCGCACGGTGACCCATTCCTCCCAGCGGTGGCCGTGGATCCCGCGTGCAGCGCGGCACCCTCGCCTCCGCCCGTGTAGGAGGGACTCGGGCTTCGGTCGCCAGCAGCCTGCTTCTCCCCCGCCGCATTTCTCCCCGGTGCTCGCGGTGCGCGCACGCTCAGAACGCCTGGCTCGGCGGACTCACCCCCTGTCACTTCCGCACGGTCCGGCTAGTTGGGGTCTGAGCGCCGCCCCGACCCTCCCCCGTCACCCTCGGACTCCGGGTCCCTTACGCGGGATGGACAGGACCGCGTGCACTCGGTGCTGGCGCCCCGGCACCGTGCCCCGGCAGAACCACCCTGGCGCACGTGTTCCTCCGGCGGGAAGGCGGGGCGGCGGATTCCCCGCCCACCCACGCACCCGACCGCGTGGACCTTTGACGCGCCTCCCAGTCTCCTGCCAGGCCCTTCGTTCGTCTCCCAACCCAGAGCTCTGTAGGTGTAGATTGACTTCATTTTTTGGAGGAGTGGTTGGAGCAGAGAGTGCTGGAGAGTGCCTGGGAACCTGGGCACTGTGCTTGCAGTCCTTTCCTGAGTGGACCCAACATGTCTGCAAGAGGAAACTGTCCCCAGAGATCCTGTGTGCTTTCCCCGGCCGAAACGCTTGTCCTGGAGAGTCCGGGGTTGTGGCGCAGGCACGCTCGGTGTGTTCCTGGGGTTCTTTACTATCTCGGGGTGCCCAGCCCCAGCTGGCCTGGTCTCAGAGTACAAGTTAGAATCCGAGCCAGCTCCGAAATCCAGAATGCATCTAGAAAAAGCTGTTTTCCATTCTCTAAAGTGCAGGTGGGATTTTGGAGCTGCCACCCGGTTCCCTGCAAAGTGACAGGCGTTTGCTCTCTGCAGGGGAGCCTGGAGGGCCCAACTGCAGCCCAGATGGAATCGGCAGAGCCAGGACTTTCTGGCCTCAGGGAGCTGCCTCTCCCTCTGCAGGTCTGGGAGCCCAGAGCCCATGCCTGAGGGTTCCCGGATGGTGTCTTCCCCTGCTGCCTCTGGCTAGACTGCATTGCTCATTGTTTGCACTCTCCTGACTTGGTGCTACTAATTTCTTTCTTTTTGAGGGGGCTTTGGTGGATGTTAATAACTCCAGATATTACAGTTATTGGTGCTGGGCAAAGGTGATCAACACCTCCTGGGTGTTTTAAACTTGTGGGTTGAGTGTCTACAGCAGTGATTGCCAGGGGGCTTAATTTTACTCTTTGGAACAGGGAACTGTGTCAAGTGATTTGGGGGGAGGGTGCAAGGGTTTTTTGCTTTTACTAAGAATGTAATGAACCTCCCTTGTTAACCTGGCAGAGTAGTAGCTGGTTTAAAACACAAAACAAGACAGGTGGTGTTGGGTTTTGGTTTGGTTTTGGGTCTCCAGGCTAACTAGGTCCTGGAGGGACAGAGCCCGGAGTAGCAGCTGGTGCTGCACTCCCCCCCCCCCCCACCAGGACAGGTGCTGGAGGGTTGCAAGGAGGGGTCCCTGTGGGAACTGTTAGAACCTTCTCTGGGAGGCACGTGATGGGGTCCTCGGTTCTCTCCCTTGACTCTCCTGGTCGGTCGGTATTTCCTTTGCTTGCCCTGAAGAGGCCTGAGGTTGCATGGTGTTGGGCTGGGGTCAGCACACTTGCAGTCTGGGCCAGTCCTCCTGCCAGCCAGCTGCCCTGAGCTTGGGCACCTCATTTGCCTTCTGGGCTGTTTCTGCACCTGTGAGTGTGTGATGGGGTCTCCCACCTTCCCTTCCTGGAGGGTGAGCCTGGGAAGGGCTCTGTGTTTAGAAGAGCAGTCTGTGTTTTCGAGAGAGGACTTTGAGTCACAGCCTCCTGTCAGGGTTGGCGATTACACCCAGCTCAGGTGAGCTGAATAAACGGACCCGAGGCAGACGAAGTCCACTCCGAATGCAGGCAGGGCCCCAGCCTCGCTGGCTGAGATGGCTGGCTTCTGGGTCCGTCGGCCCTTTTCTTTGAACCTGGGTCCCTGCCACGGGTGGCCTCTCCTGGGGAAGCTGAGTAACGGCCGAGGCTGCCTGCCGTGCCCCGGGCTCGCAAACACACTGGCGCCGGGGTGCTCCACATTTTTTCCACAGCAGCCGCTGTTAAAAATGGATTTCCAATCAGACTCTGGAGTTTTGGCCCCTGTTTCTGTGGCAGCCAGTGCTCCAGGGATGGGGCCAAGCTCCTCCCCATGACCCTGTCCTGCCTGGCTCAACTCGGAGTGACCTGTTGTCCAGCCTGTTTCAGAAGTCTTTGAAAGTGCGCATGTGACGGTGTTGACAGAAGTGTGGAAGATGCGCCTCAAAGATGCACATTCCAGAGTGGACACAGGCCTCGTGTCCCCAGGTGTCTCCTTGTTCAGATAAACTTTATCACTAACCACCTCACGTGGGCTCTTGCTGTAGCCTGCAGGGCTAGCAGCCCCTCGGGGCCGCCCATCCTTTCTTCTGGGAGACCACTGGGGGCACTTGAGCTGGGAGGGGTGACCAGAGGTCCACTTTGCCACATGTGCCGTGCCGTGGGACCTCTCATCTCGGGAATCTGGGAGCTGCCCACGAAGGGAAGGTCCAGGACTGTGACCACCCCCCCCCCCGAATTGGAGGAGGGGCAGATTTTCTAAGCAACACTCAGGAAAAATGTCTGAAGCAGAAATGCAGGTGCCCAATTTTGAAGGATCTGGTACCTTCTGTGCTTCTCGGCGTTTTTCTCTGCCATTTTTGGCATGGGGCAGGGTGAGGCTCGGCCAGCCGTGGGGCAGTAAACGTGCTGTTTGTCCAGGGTGAGCATCTCCATTCATGATTTTGGAGAGCTGAGGAGAGCTTGAGTTCCCCTTTCTGGTGCCCGATGCAGTGGGCGGGAGGGCTGCTCTTCCGAGGAGACTCCTGCTGGGAACTGGAGACCTCAGGTGCGCTGGCCCTGTGGGGGAGCCCCACGCCTGCGAATGGGCTACAAGTGTAGAGCGAACACAGTGTGGTCCCCAGAGGAGAGACGTGTGTGTGGGACACCGAGCCCAGGGCTCAGTGAGCTGTGGGGACACAGGGGCCCTTAGCATCATGTGCTCAAAGAACAGGTGGCCTCAGAGGCTTGGGCTTCTCCCCAGCAGCTGGGGGAGGCCTCTCCTTCACTCCCACCATTATGAAATGTGGGGGGGGGGGCGGCTGGAGGATTAGCTCGTCCGGCTTGCGCCCTGCACTGGGCAGTGTTCCCAGGTTGCAGGGATGGAGCTGGGGGTGGACTGGGAGGGAAGGGGCTCCCTGAGACACTGTCTCTGCAGACACTCCCCCTACCCTGTGAGCTCTCGGGCCAGCACCTGGGGCGGCTCCCTGCATGCCTGTCCTTCTGGGGTTTGAGGCTGGTCTACCTCTGCTGTGACCCTGGAGGACTCCTTGGGGCCCTTCTGAGCACTGGTTGGGGGCGGCCATGCCATGCTCCCTGGGAGTACTGGATGCGGAGCCCTGCGTGTCCGGCCAGGAGTCCTGAGGCAGTGTCTCCTGGGGTGCTGTGCTCTTCTTTCACCTGCTCAGACATGCCTGTGGGACGCGTTAAGGTGCAGAGTCCTGGGCCGTGACCCAGACCTTCGGATAGCTGCATAGGGCAGAGCCCAGAGCTGGATTTTCTGACAGTTCTCAGTGTAGTGTAAGAAGCACTTCTCCTCGGTTTCGGAAGCTATAGGAATCCAGGATACAGAACAGAAAACGTTAGTGTGTTTGGTGCTGGTGTTTGAAGCTTCCGCCATTGCCCCAGGATTCAGGGTACACCAGGTAAGGGAAGTTCCCATTGCTTCTGGAGATGACACCTTTTGAACAGGAGGGCCAAGTCCTTGGGCTCCTGAGGATGGAGGTGGGGGGTGGGATGGGGTGGGGACCCACTCCCGGGGACCCCGGGCTTAGGTGGATTCTTGGCTGTTCACCCCGTGCTGGAGAGCTTAGCTGGGTGGGTGTGGGGTTGCCCTGGTGTCTAGGGAGTGTACCTGGGAGTGGGGAAGTGAGCTTGAGGGGAGTCTTCGGGCTGAGGGTGCACCCTGAGGTGTGAGTGGTTCTGCCTGTGGCAGGCCCTGGGGCCCTCCCTTCCGTTTGTGCAAGCTCCCAGTGGGTTTGCAAAAGTGAGTACCAGTCTGTCCTCGGGAGCCCTTGGCATGCATCCCTGATAGGACAGTTTCCTGCAGGGGCCCCAGAAGGCGGGAACAGTCCTGCTCTTTGGGCCACAGTTCACTTTGCTGAGGCCCCAGGCCTGGTGTGAGGACTCCATCTGCCATCCATGGTCCTGGGTGGGGAGGGGGTCCTCTGCAGTCCCCTGGCTTTTCTGGGCCTCATCCTGGGAGGAGTGTGGGAGCACTTCCTGCTGGGACGGTCATCTGGTGGCTTTTCCTAGGGGTCCCTGGACCCGCCAACCCTGCAAAGCTGGCCCCACGTCTTGGGAACTTTTTGTGCCCACTGCTGGGAATTGGAGGGGGTTTCTCCACAGGTACTCTTGGCACGGCTTCACCGGACACAATTCGTCGTGGCTGCTTGCTTTTGACTTACTCATTTATAGAGGAACTTTGTATCAATGCCATAAACGCAAAAGCAGTATCACTTGACATACAGAAACAGTAACAGAGATAAACAGTGGAAACGTGCAGGTAGATCTGATCCCTGGTGCTCTCTGTTAGAATAGGTTTAGTGGGTTTTGGAAAGGTGCTGTTCACACCTGCATCAAAGGGAGCCTTCTGGACGGAGAGTTCTCCCCATGTGACCTCTACCGGTCTAACTAATGCTTCTTCTGGCTCTACCCAAAGTGCCCCTGGGTAAGGCTGCCCTTGGGGGACACGGGGAGGGCCACCTGGCAGCCCACGCCTCTAGCTGCTTCTCTTTAGGGGAGCCTCAGGGGCTGCCAGGGTCATGAGCCTTAAGGTCTGGGCCTCTGTCCCATGTGGTCCCTTCTGTCACCTTGTCACCCCCGCCCCTGCCCCCGGAGGCTCCTGCCCTCCTCACCCACAGTCAGCTTTACCTGCAAACCCCATCTGCCACATCCCCAGTCTTGTGCATGGGGTCCCCCCCCCTGAGGTTGCTGGGACGGCACTCCCAGGTTGTGGTTGGGGCCACCAGCCACCCTCGCTGTGGCCAGCTGTGGCCCGGCGTCCCAGCAGGCCTCTCCCAGCCCATACGCCCTGAGCCATCTCGGGGCCAGGTGACACTCCAGTAGCCCTAGCTGGGTGCGTGACACCAGCTGCGCCCCTGGGACCTCTCCTGGGGAGGAATTCGTGCCCAGCCCAAAGCCACAGCCACCCCACTGGGAGCCCTTGAGATGAGTGTGCCTGAAAGACTGGACTTGAAGCTGTGTTTGGTTTGAGTTGATTGATATTTAAGGAGCCCCCGTGGGTGGTGGGGTATGGGGTGCAGCAACCTGCTGGCTCCTGGAGGTGGTGACAGGCTAGACCACGTGGGCCCCCTCCCCGTGTGGGTGTGGCCATTGAATCCTGACCACCTGAGAGAGCACTGGAGTTTCTGGGGAGGAGGGGGGGCGGTCCTAGGGCTGTTGGGTGGGCTGCCCTGACCCTGGGCTCATCTTCCAGGAACGTCATCGTCTTGTCCGGGGCTGCCGGGGGCCTGGGCAGCATGGTGCCCTCCAGCCAGGCGGCGGAGAAGCAGATGCCTGCGGAGCCGGGGCCAGACCCTGAGCTCAAGTCCTGGAGGTGCCTGGTGTTCTATCTGTGTTTCTACGGCTTCATGGTGCAGTTGCGGCCCGGGGAGAGCTTCATCACACCCTACCTCTTGGGCCCCGATAAGAACTTCACACGGGAACAGGTGCGTGGGCACGGCCTGCGGGGGGGTGGCATGGCCTGCGGGGGGGCGGGTGTGGGCAGGGGCGCTCCCGGCCTGAGAGCAGCTGAGCCTGCCAGGTTAGGTGGCTGTGTGGTGTGGGGGGTCCTGCCCCCTACCCCTCAAGGGGCACCTTCACACGGAGGGCCAGACTCTGACTTCCTAACCAGGCCAAAGAGTGAGGGCAGCCGCTGAGGGTCTGGGGAAGAGTGTGGGGAACCGCAAGGGCTCGCCTGGGGGGCAGGCTTGCTTCCAGCAGAGACCTAACAGCCATTTGCCTGAAGAGAGGACCAAGGAATTTACTTGGCGGGAAGGACAAAGATCTCCTGGTTGAAACTTGACTAATAACTTCTACCCTGGGGCCATAGAGGAGTGAAAGCAGCAATGGGTTTTATCCCTAGTGCTTTCCTTATCTGAAGAACAAAAAGAGCCGAAGGGCTGTTGGCAGATAAAATGCACCGGCTGGCCCTTCTGTCGGGGCTTCTGTCCGAGCTCAGGTCCCCACCCCACTCCTGCCCCGGAGCCTGGCCCCAGGCTGGCTCTACCTGTGCTCCCTGGTCCAGCTCAGCCCCCGCCCTCAGCCTCCGTCCCCTCCAGCGTGTCCCTGGGTCCCACTGAGCTGCTGGATTTTTCTGGGAGGCCCTGCCTTTCTCTGAGAACCTGACCCCTCCCCCTTGCAGACCTTGGAATTCTTAAGTGCTCTGGCGTTGCTGTGCAAATGAGGCCTGACCCTCAGGGGCCCTACGGGGTGGGGGTGGGGGGCAGCTGGCTTCTGTCTGACACGTGCAGGTGAGTGGGGTCAGGACGGCCTCTGCAGCAACTCCCCACCGCGCTGCCCGGGGACACTTGTCCACACCCAGTCAGGCTGCTCTGACCTCGGCACACTCTAGGGGCTGAACCGCAGGTTCCCCTGGTGCTGAGGCGGCGGCCAGTTTGTCGCCCCAGAGGGAAATGCTGCTTCAGGTGTCCAGGGCACAGCCGTGCGTGGGTCGGTGTGCGGGTCAGGTGCGCGGGCTCGGACTCCCGGTCCTGCTGCGTGTGTGGCTGGCTGCGTGCTTCCCTCGCCAGCCGCGGGTTGGCGCCGCCGAGTCTCTGCCCATCTGATAGCTGTGGGGAGCCGGCTTGCTGTCGGCGTGTATTCCTTTGGTGTGCGTGGCCCGGCCTGGCTGTCACCTGGCGGTCACTGTGCTTGCTGGGCCAGCCTCCACATCATCCTGCGGGCTGTCTGCCTCGGGCTTGCCCTGGGGGATCCGACTGCCTGTATGTCACCTGTTTCTCCCGGTCTGGGCTGGTCCCCTCACTTTGCTCATGGTGTCCTGTTACGGGGGGTTTTAAGTGTTGGTCCCGCCAGACTGTCCTTCATGCTTCTTTGCTGTGGGACGCCTGTCCTCCCTGCCTTAGCAGGTGCCTTGGGGAGGGGTTGGCTTGCTCTGTACCTTCAGGCGATGATTCCCTTACATCAAGCTGCCTGGGCTGAGTCCTGTGGTGTGGCGCCCCATGGGGAGCCCCCATCCGGGACTGCTTACAGCACTCCTCACAGGACTGGCCCCACCTGTCGCCCGTCAGCCCTGGGATCCAGCCCTGGGATCGTCAGGTGCCCTCCTTAGGGAAGGCCCCTGCCCTGCCCGGACCCTGCCCTGCCCTCGGGCGGGACTCAGAGCCCATCCAGGTGCTGCCAGGGATCAGGCTCTCGCGCTTCCTCCTGGATTTTGGGTCCCCTCGTCCCGCTCCTGAGAACCCACTGTTCTGCATCCTTCCTGCCCTTCCCATGGCTCTGGCCCCCACCCCAGTTGTCCTGGCTGCTCTGGGGCCCAGCTGAGCCTGCCCATTCAGAGAAGCAGCTGCCCTGAAGCCACCTGGATCCAGATCCGGGCACAGTTCCTGTGTTTTGCCCGTCAGCCTGGACCTGGCCTGTCCACACACTAGGCTGTTGGGAAGGCATCCAGGCAACACTAGGCTCAGGCCAGTAAGAGGCTGTCCTTGTGCCAGTGCTGGGCCACTTGACAAATGCCACCTGCCCTGGGGACTTTGTGGGTCCCCACTCCCTAGTACCTTCCAAGTGTGACATGGGTCAGCCCTTTGCCTGCCAAGTCCATTGAGGATGCGGGGGGG